CATGCCTATAGTCCCAGCTACTCGGGAGGGTGAGGCAGAAGCATCGCTTGAGCTGAGGAGTCTGAGGTTGCTGTGAGCTAGGCTGACGCCACGGCACTCTAGCCCGGACAACAGAGTGAGACTCTGTCTCAAAAAATAGAAAAAACACAATTTAGTTTGCTGTACCCCCTGTGAGAACAAACCTAAGAAGAGCCAAATTAAAAAAAAAACAAATTAAAGTCTGTTATCTTTCTGTACCACAGCGGAATACAATCAGGACAAAAATCTTCCCAGTCCTGGTTTCTCTCCCAGAAAACAAAGAAAAGAGTGCAACATGTGTCCAAAGGTCTCGGTTTGTCTGGGGCTACCTAAAACCTGGTTATTGCTTTTTTAAACACGGAGTGCTAAAAGGAATGGAGATAGACTTTAAATGACGGGCTGGTCCACTGAGAAGAAAGATGAATGCTTGTTACAGTAACAGAGAGACTGCAGTACCAATGACATTTGCCAGGGGAAGCAAGAGATAAAATTATTTCAATAAAAATATGGGGAACTTTGTATCTGTAAACATACATAGTAGTCCAGATAAGACACAGACACATATAGCAACTCATTGGAGAAACCCTCAGAATGTCTACTGCAGCTGAATAATTCTAGTTGTTCCCTGTACAAAGCTAGTCCATAAAAAATGGGATAAGTAGCTGTTTTTCAAATGAGAAAAATACCAATAAAATCACAAGACGTTAAAGAAACAAACATGGCACAATCAAATGTCAAAAATAAATATTTAAGTGACTGTAGAGAAGTAACCATCAATGAATTAATTTAAAAGAATTTAAATCATCTTATCTCAATGGTGCTAAATGAGAACACAGAAACCTAGCAAAAGAAAAGAATTAATAGAGAAAATTAGATTACTGACAAATGTTTAAAAGTATAAAAACACCACTCTAGCCCAGGCAACACAGTGAGACTCTGTCTCAAAAAAAAAAAAAAAAAAAAGTATAAAAACACACACTATGAAGCTGATACATAATACAACTGAATAAAGATTCATTAGAGGGTGTTGCCAGCAGCCTTAATCTAACAGAAGAAAAATGCAGCCAGCTTGATAATACGTCCTTTAAATTATAGACTCAGGGAAGCAAACAGGGAGACAAACTGAGGAAAAGTGAAGAGAGCCTGAGGGACCAAGACGTTACCATCAACTAGGCCATTACACTGATAATGACAGGCGTATGACGAGAAGAGAAAGCAAAAAGGGAAAACTATTACAAGAAATAGTGGATAAGACCTTCAAAATGTGAGAAAGAAAATAACATAAAATTTAAAGAAGCTCAGACAACTCTAACTAGGACCAAGACAAAAGGAATCACACCAAAACACATTAGAATCAGAAATCTGAAAGTTACAAAGAGAATCTTGAAATTAACAACAATAAAAGTGATTTGGCATCTACAAGGGTGTTCCTGTAAGATAAAAAATGTTTTACCAAAATACCTTGCAGGCCGCAAAAGTGTAGAATAATATATTCAAAGTGATGAAAAATGACAGTGACCACCCAAGAACACTTTTTCTTGCAAAACTGCCGTGTCCTTTAAAATGAATTAGAAATAAAGAATTTCCAAGAGCAACAAGCCATCAATTAATTCATATCCACTACACCAACACTGCAAAAAAATGCTAAAGTAATCAGTTTTTCATGTTGAAAAATTAAATAATGCTACATAGCAACAAAAATCATGTGAAAATGCAGAGTTCTCTGATAAAATGAATTATACACACAGTATTATGCTGTATTATCACAAAGATGGTGCATTAAATGCTTTTAAATCTGATATAGACTTTAAAACACAAACAAAAATGACTGTAAGTCTGATTATGGATACACAATACAAAAAGATACAATTTGAGACGTTAATAAAATACACTGGGGGATGGAAGGAGACAGGGTTTTTGTATGCAATTGAAATTACCAACTTAGGCTGGGCATGGTGGCTCATGTGTGTAATCCTAGCACTCTGGGGGACTGGGGCGGGAGGATCATTTAAGCTCAGGAGTTCGAGGCCAGCCTGAGCAAGAGCAAGACCCCATCTCTACTAAAAATAGAAAAAATTAGCCGGGCGTGGCAGTGTACGCCTGTAGTGCCAGCTACTCAGGTGGCTGAGGCAGGAGAATCCCTTGAGCCCAGGAATTTGAGGTTGCTGTGAGCTAGGCTGACATCACGGCACTCTAGTCCAGGCAATGGAGCAAGACTGTGTCTCGAAAAACAAAACAAAACAAACAAAGAACCACCACGTAATATCCTCTAGTTCCACTATGCGAAATCTAAAAATGTAAGAACAGAGAGCTGATGTTATAGAAGCAGAGAGTAGGATCCTGGTTACCAAGTCTGATGGGGGAAAAGGAGAAGAAGAGTTAGGATAATAGGTACAAAGTTTAAATTCTTTAGAAAGGAGAAATAAGTGCTGTAGTTTTATTGCACAGTGAGATGACAATGGTTAACAAAAGGTGTTGTGTATTACATGAACATCGATACCACAAAGAAATAGTGAACGCATGAGGTAATGGACACAGTACATATACTGATTTGATTCATCATACACTGTACACATAACAGAAATCAAATAGTACCCTGTAAACATGTACAATTGTAATGCCCTATACATATGCGCAATTATATGTTAATCTAAAAAACGGACTAAGACTTTCACGTAAGGCCTATAACTATAAAACTCCTAAAAGAATACGTAAGGGGGGAACCTCATGACAGTGGGTTTTGGCCATGATTTCTCGGATATAACATAAAAGGATCACGTGGTACTATATCACTGTATCCAAAATATCCCACACGTGTTCAAGCCAGGACACGGAGTAGATACTGCACCGTTATTCACAATAGTCAATACCTGGAGGCAAGCCAAGGGCCCTTCCTGAATGAGCAGATGCAGAAAATGTGGTAAATGCCTACAATGGAATATTATTCAGCTTTTAAAAAAGAACATCCGACACATACTACAGTAAGGAAGGGCAAACGCTGAGGACATCGTGTGAAGTAAAATGAGAGTTTAAAAGAAACAGACGCTGTATGATTAGACTTACATGAAATATTTAAAATAGTCAAACTCACAGAAACAAAAAGTAGAACAGTGTTCTACAGGAGTTGGAGAGAAGTGGAAATGTCAATTTGCTGTTTAATGGGAATTTGCTCTTACTTTTGTAAGATAAAAATGGTGTGGAACTCTGTTGCAAAACACTGTGAATATAAACAACGCTACTAAACTATACACTTAAAAATGTTTTAGATGAGAATTTTATACTTGTCACCACAATTAAAAATGTAAGGCTACATAAGAGATACAGTTAAATTTCTTTTTCTGAAATTACCTTCAAGTATGAAAAGTGTTTCTCTCACATAATGATACGGATTCAAGCCATAAATAGATTGTGAAGTTAAGACTATTCGTATCATAAGGTATAAACAAAGTAGGAGCAATAATTAGGCAAAAAAAATAGATGTTTTTATACTTCATAGACATATGCCTAATTCCTATATAAATAAAACACCATCCTGTCTTGAAGAGTACAGATTTGAAAATTATCATCCAAGTCATATCAAGGGTAAAAAGAAAAACACAATTAATTGATCTGAAGAAACATACCTGAAAATAAATGGGGTAATATGGAATTGAAAACAGGAGAAAAAAATTTAATGGATGAAATACTGAATACAACATAGAGACACTACTGAAAAGTAATTGTTTACATATATACAATTTTAAATTGTGTGCATCCACGAAGAACAGATATTTTGAATCATTACTATTCAATGTATGGCAGGGAAATTTCATGTAAAATGCATTATAATCATTAATAAAAGGCTATACTGAGATGATTTAAATGAAAAAATATGTTATTAATATACTGGAGCTGTTTCTACACAACATAAAGGCTATAATGCAGTCTTTAGAGGCTAAGAAAAGTTTTGTGTTTCCAAATAAAGGAACAACACAAATGTTACAAAGTATCATGAGAATTACTGAAATAAAATAAACATTTTGGATTAAATTATACCATCATTTAGATATAGGCTGACAAAAGAGATACAAATTTCCATGATTCCTTATTGCGTCCAGTAAACTTAAACTTACATTCAAACATTTTAATACATGTGGTGTCTGCTACTAATCTAATACAATTCTTATATAACATGTAAACTTGAGAATTTCACTTCAGAACTTCTGAATCTAAAAATCACAGACAAATTGACATGCAACATTTTAAAGTGAAACACATAGGAGAGGAACATAAGCAAGAAGACAGAACAGGAGCTCCCCCATTTGTACCCTGCAGTGCAATGTAGCAGCGGTGCCCAGATGAACCTGCTTAGGTGGGAGCTTCGGGATCCAGAACTGAGTTTGTGGGGCCCTGGTGGAGCTCAAAACCAAGCCGTAGGGCCACTTTGAGGGGCAGGTCCTCACCCACGTGACAGGCTGCCTAACCACGGTCCCAGCTACAGAACAAAAAGTAGCAACATCTCACTGGCGACCTAGTTGTGGTCCATTTTTCTCTTGGCCTGGCCATTAGCACCATCTGCCAAGATACCCAGGAAGATTCAGAGCCAGCTGTGTCTCAGGTGAGGCCTGATGC